ACACCCATCTTCAGAGTCTGTCATTCCCCCACATAGGTTAGAGTCCACTTCTCCTCCCCTTGAACATGAGTTGGACTTCGCTATGAATCACGATTGGCTCAGTGGCACCTAATAATAGCAACCTGGTGATCAAATTCTGAAGAATAGGGTGCAGTCAAATGGATGCTGTGGAATTTCTGAAGCTAGACGGTGAAAAGGTATACAGCTTAGGTATGACTCTGTCTCTGAGGGCCCACGTCTTTGGAACCTTGAGCTAAATTGAATAGAGAGATAAGTACCAAGTCCCAATTGTCCTAGTCCTTAGCTTCCCAGTCCAAGCACCAGACACACCAGTCAGTGACCTCGCCTTCAGGGGATCCAAGACTGGCCTTTGAGCTGTTGGAATTGATGCTAAGGAGAGCACAAAACAGTTCCCGTTTCCAGACACCAAGCTTCAAGGTGGTTCATTACACTACAAAGAATCTCCCTGACTTGGTGATTAATGTGCTTAGCTCTTAATGGAAAGATTAATGGCTGTATGGAAGTCTGCTTCTGTAAAGATTTACAGCCTTGTATACTCTGAAGGGAAGCACTACTCTCTTTCAGATTATCATTTTAAATTGGAGTTGACTCAGTGACAATAGATAACAAACTTTGAGAGGCTGGTGCAAATTGTCACTAAGGCTTTTAAAGGCTGCCCAAACATATATTTAGAAGAGAAGAAGTTCTCCCATCTTGTGATTCTCATTAAACTCACTCATTGCAGTTGAGTTGAGCCACAGCTGGTTCTCAGAGACTGTAAATTACCCAGAAGGAGATTATCCATCTTGCTCCCAAGGAGCAGCTGGTGGATTTGAACCATTAGAGAGGTGCAATTCTCCATTAACTATACCACCAAGGGTTGTTGTTGGTAGGTGCTGTCGAGTAGAGTACAACTCATAGTGACCCTATGAACAAAAGACCTGAACCTTGTTCTATGCTGTGCTATCCTCACACTTCCTGACACATTGCAGCAGTCACGGTGTCAATCTACCTCGTTGAGGGTTGGCCATGGTGAATTAAACCAACAAAGAGTGATTTCTCCCATATAAAGGTCATTCATTCATTCAGCAAACACTTATTATCTAACATGTATCAGATATTGTCTTATGTCCTAGGGCTCAGCAGTAAACAGAATCTCTGACTCTGTGGAACTTACATGTACTGACGTGAGAGTAAAGTAATAAAGAACTTGTTTTGTCAGATATCAGTAAGTACAATGAAGAGAAATTATAGTGGGAGTGCAGATGTGGTAAAGGAAGGTATTGATGAAAAAAAAGACATTTGGATTGAGACTTGAAGGAAGTTAGATGACAAACCCATCTCATTGTGTGGGAGAAATGCATTCCAGACAAAGGGAATAGCTAGTGTAAAGGTCCTGAGGCAGGAATATGCTGGTGTGTTTTAAGATTAGCAAGCTGGATTTGTGGTGTAAGCAGAGTGAGAAGTAGGGACCCTGGAAGGTAATGAGATCTGAGGGAGAGTAGAAAGGTAGATGAGAGAGAGCAAGGATTTGAGCTGGGCTTTACCAGACAGGATGCCAGATGGTTGGAACAGAAGGAAGGTGTGACTTGAACCGTAATAGACTCTATCTGGCTGCTGTGATGAGAACAGTCTGGGTGGGAGGGGAGGTAGGAACAAAAGCAGAAATGATGACCTGATAAACTCAAGTCGTTGCGGCCTATTGGAACAATGAGTTTCATAGCTGAACCACCAGCGGGTTTTCGGGGGGTTTAAATATCATGGAAAGTGATAGACCATCTTTCTCCTGAAGAGCTGGTGGATTTGAACTGAGAGTCTTTGGGTTGGAATCACAGACCACCTGAACTTCTATAAAGCTATTTCATTAATCCAGGCAAGGAATGGTGTTGCCTTGGGTTTGTGGCCAAAGAGCAAAGATGATTGTGTTTGGAATAGATTTTGAAAGGATAGTATGTTTTGCTGATGAATTGAATGTGGTGTATGAGACAAAGAATGGAAAATATGACTAAAATCAAGGGTAACTTGAAGGTATTTCTCCTGAATAACAGGAAGAGTGAAGTTGCCTGAAATGTGAGAGGCAGGCATTTGGAGGAAGAGGTAAGAAGGAGAAGCAACTGGGAATTGAATTTTGAATATGGACTTGATGAATACCCGGTGGTGCAGATCGCTGAAAGTTTGAAAGAAGGAGTAGTACATCCAGAATAGCCTTTGAAGAAAAGACTTAAAGATTTTTTTTTTTAAATCATCCTTTAGAAAGTGTATAGAGCACAGTTATATTCTTGACACACATGGACTAGCCACGAGTTGGAGGGTTTTTTTAAAACTGCTATTGCTCTCTAAAGTACTAAAGAGCAAGAATGTTCATTTGAAGACTAAGGTGAGCCTGACCCAAATTGTGGTATTTTCAATTGCTCAATAAACATGTGAAAGCAGGACATGAATAAGGAAGAGTGAATAAGAATTGTTGCCTTTGAATTGCTATGTTGGAGAAGTATATAGCATATCCTATGGACTGTCAAACCTATGGACTGTCAAAAGAAGAAACAAGTCTGTCATGGGTGAAGTAAAACCAGCATTCTTCATAGAGGTCAGGATGGAGAAATATCACCTCAAATACTTTAGGCATGTTGTCAAGAGGTGCCAGTCTTTGGAAAAAGACATCAGGGTCATTCAAAGAGAGACCCTCAATAAGCGGGATTGAATGTACAACAATGAATGAATGAAAATACAAATTTTCTGCAAACTTTCATTAAAATGACAATTTAAAAAAAAAAATCTCAAACAAAAACAAAACCAAGATGGATTGAGACGGTGACTACAACATGGACTTGAACCTGGTGGAGAATGCAAAGATGATGCCAGGAGAGGACAAAGTTAAGACAGGTCAAGACAGGACAGGACAGGACTTGTACTGTTCATCAGGCCACACGAATGGTAAGTCAACTTGATGACACCTAATAGAAAAAGCAACAATAAAAGTTTAAATAGATGCCAATATGGAAGTAGGATTCGATGGTAAGAGAAACACATTTGGTTTTGGGACGGTGAGAAATAAAAGCTTCAGTATTGTCAGGCTCTATGATACCTATGAAGCCAGGGAAATGGATGCGAGCAAGACTGACTGTGGCGACGGAAGGACTGAGTCTTGGGACCCCCAACAGTGAGCAGCCAAGTAGAAGAGGGACATGTATAAAACATCTCTTGAAGGAGCAGAGGAAAGGCAGAGAGGAGGCGTACAACAGTCAAGTCACTAAGAATGCAGAAGCGTTCACTTTCCTTTGGTTAACACTTTCTTGAGATAAGTATCATTGACTCAGTACTTTATAGCAGTAAAAAGACAATTACATGAGTGAACCCATCTATAAAGGAAACATTATAGTCTACTAAGAAAAAAAAAATGAATAGATGATAGCAGTGTGCCCGTTCTAGCATTTCAGTAACACATTCTTCTCTACTTCTGAGCTAAACCTTGGAATTTTACCACATGTACCAAGAACTGTGACACTTATATACCAGACCTTCTCTGAGGTGGAGTCTTGGGCAACTGTTTTAAAATTGTGCAGCCAAATTTATATGTAACACAAACAAGAGGCGTATGATACGATTTTTGAATGGCACAACTCCTTGCATGTCATTTTCCTATGAGGATGTTGTTTTTAAGTGTTAAGTGCCATCGAGTCGTAGACGACTCATAGCGACCCTATGAATGAAAGACCTGAACACTTGTAGTATAACTTTTGTCTTTTCCTATGATAGCCACAAGCATTATATGCATGTGCATGTTACATGTGCACATATATTAGGAATATAGTACATTTCTTAACACTTACACTGTATCTGTGAATTACAGTTTTCATGTTTATTTGAACTTTGAATATAACCAATTCCATACTCTCTTTTTTCCATACAATCATTCATTGTACGAAATGAAATATTGTTTTATAATTGAGCTATGCTCACCCCCACAAGTGTCTTCACAGGACAATTTTAATTTCTACCTAATGTAGATCTTTCTAAAGAGGAACGATATTATCTGTGTGCTCATTTTTGTAGCTATTGTTGTGGTGCCTTCTATTTTCAGAGCCACTTCAAGACTCACTTCTTTTTACCTTGGGTCTCTCTCTCACTCTCAGGTTTGTTATAGAATGTGCTCTAAATTAAGAAGGTTCACCTCTCAGTGCTACTCCTAATCACACTTTATTTCTGCATGGATTACACTTAGGATAATAATGTTTGAAAATGCTAGAACATGTACGCTCAGGTTGGATGCCCAATTGACACAACCCCTCATTGCCACTGTTGGAACCGACTCACAGCGGACCCTCTATTGGGTTTCCGTGGTGGTAAAATGCATGAGAGGAGATTGTCCATCTCTCCCATTTTGGAAGTGCTGGAGGATTCGGAACTGCTGATGAGCTGCCAGAGAGGCACAGCTGTGGCTAGCAGTGCAATTTCCTTCACACTCTGACAGCAGAGCTCCCCAACCTGATTCAAGTGCTTTATTAAAAACCATAACAAATAGAAGGCTAACTAATAAAATACGTATGAGAACTCAAGGTGGGGGAGGGCCGAGGATGGGTAAGGGTGAAACCGCAGGGCTGCACAGTTTGGTGGGTGGAGGGAGGGGAGGAAGGAAATGGGAAAGATTCGGGTAAAGGATACAGAGTAATGACGGGTAAGGTTGAATGGTGACCAATTTTATAAAACATAATGCATGAGATTGATTGTACGAAACACAATGTGAATGAAGAAGAGTGAAACACAATGTGAATGAAGAAGTGAGAAACACAATGTATACGAACCTTGTAAACAAACAAAAATTTAAAAAAGGGAGAAAAACACCCTAACAAAACAGTAACAACAACAACAAAACAAACCCCATTACACTGACACAGACATCATGCTTTTATTTTGATGTGAAGATGTAAAGATAGAGAAAAGGTTGGAGAACATTTATCAGTGTTTTGAAGACAGAGGGACTAACAGGCCTGCTTTGGGGCTCATTTCTTTTCCTCTGTCAGTCTTGAAGACGATCTCTCTCCATCACTTCCTTGCACATTTTCACTCCTTTGGAAAACTATCTTAATGTCCTAAGAGAAAAAGAAATTCCAACGACAAGTTACAGACATTTAAAAACAGTCTGGGCTTAATTATCATTTAGTATGTGGCAGTGATTGAAAGTATATTATTTCATAGGGAGCTCTGGTGGCCTAGTGGCAAGAAGCTGCAACTACAATCCCAGAGGTGCACGGTTCGAATCCATCAGATGCTCTGCCGGGGAAGGAGGGACAATCTCCTCCTGTACCAGTCAGATCTGATTTGACGGTACACGCACACAAAAATAATAAAATAATAAAAAAAAAATCCATCAGATGCTCTGCCGGGGAAGGAGGGGCAATCTCCTCCTGTACCAGTCAGATCTGATTTGACGGTACACGCACACAAAAATAATAAAATAAAATAAAAATTTAAAAAAATTTAAAAAAAGAAAGTGTATTATTTCTCCTTTTGAGAGAGCTGCTCCCCATTCAGTCTGAAACACATTCAGTGACTTTTAGTTGCACCCAAATAAAAGTATCTAAGAACCTGGAGCCTCAGTTCTATGAAATAATGACTTCATTCTCTTATTAGACTAAATAGAATTTGTAACAGCAATTACATAAAGTTTGAGGCATAATGAGAAGGGCAAATATTTTCTTGTTAATGAATAAGAAATGGTTCACCTTCTATTAAAAGAAAATTCTAATGCTAAATTAATAATGCTCATGAATTTGCAGAACTTTAGGGTAGAATATTATTATTATATCATTATTATTTATAGGATTACTTCTCCTTTAATATGAGAGAGAGAGCAATCTGCTTCAGCTATCCAGTTATCTTACATTTTCTACCACAAAGTCTATAACAAAGAAATTTTTTAAAATTCTATTTTAAAGGAGTGAGAATACAGTTGTAATGTGTAGAACTGCATTTCTGTATCTTTTAGTTTAGTTTTCTTTTTTAACTGTCACAAATTTAGGGAAGTTCTTTTTTCAGAGCTGAGCTCCAAAGGTTTCAGTTTGATGACATTGTTTCCCTCATGCAGACATAAGCAACTGCACCCTCTGAGCTGTCACCTGCAGTGTCATTCCTCACACATCGGTCTTCTTAGCCACTGCCATGAGTCATAGTGGATCTTTTCACAGGGACCTTATTCTCTGAAGACACTGATGGTCTACAGCTAACAGTCAACTTGGAATGAATTATGTAAACCAAGGAAATCTGGTCACCTCATCATTCACCCTGCAATCCTGAAGAGTGTGTCTTCTCTGAATAAATAGAACCAACGATGAGCATTGGAAGTTAACTTAGTGATTAGAACTGAGCTGACAGTAACCTGTAATTTCTTTCATGATGTTAGAGCTGACTCCCAGGTATAGTGGCCTCTTGTGTAACCCCTGCCAATCTTGAGCTATCATGAGTTGTTGCTGTACTGAAGCCCATGGTCGCCATCACTGCGTCAACCGATGTAATTGAGTGTCTTCCTCTTTCTTTCTCACTTTTTCTTTTTCCATGGATGATGTCTTCAGCAGCGTCTGGCCCTTCCTGGTTACATGTCTAAAGCACATGAGATGAAGTCTCACCACCCTTGACTCTAAGGCTAACCCTTTTACAAGACAGATTCACCTTTCCTTTTGTAGTCCATGGTATAGTCAATATTTTCACTAACATTATAATTCAAAGGCATAAATACTTCTTCTGTCTTCACTCATTATCTAATGTTAACGTGAATATGAAGTAATTGGAAATCTCATGGCGTGAATCCGGCACACATTTATCCTTAAAGTGTAGTTAACATTTTACAAACTCCAGGTAGAGTTACTCTGGTTTGGTTACACTTGCAGCTGAAATCAGAGACCACAAGTTTCAGTAGTAGTTAAAGGGGAACCACGAGAGAATCAGAAAGTGTTTGACAACTACTTCATTTTGTTAAAAAGATAAAGCTGGAGAAGACTTTTCAAATCACGTACGAGAAAGTAAGATCAAATCCAGTCAAGTCAAACATTAAATTCTTAGGTATTTTCCTCACTCAACTGGATCCTGCAGTCCTCCTTTATAAAAAATTCTCTGTGATATTTCAATTCTAACGTAGAAAGGTGCATCACTATCTCTTATTGTATTTATACCTTAATCTTAAAGTCACAGGCTGGTTTCCAGTTTGACGAAAAGAAATGTATACTCCTGTGTTTGTCATAGGAAACTACATTTGTCAGATGGCTAAAGAAATTCAGAAAGTTGCATTCTGAATGTGTTTGTCATAGTAAATGGAATTTTCTCACCAACAAGCCAGTCATAGTATTGATCTTGTCACATTTAATAAAACCAATTTATCAGTTATTTAGGAAGAGTGCTTGAAAGCCAGCCTCCTTGGATAAGGCCTATGGATGTAGAATTAAAAGAATGACTTGAGCTGAGTAAGCATAAAACCCAGCACAAAAGCTGGTCATGCTAAGCTTTGCAGCCTCTGGGCTTGGACCTTGATTTGAATTCTGTGATTGTCAGTGAACCAGTCAGTGCTTCCTCTCTCTCCACAGAGAAGACCCTACTCACACAGGAGATGCAATGCCAGATCAAACCTCACACAGCCTGGAGATGATTCTTGCAAACTAAACTATCTGCAGGCTGACAGTAATAGTGGTGTTGCCAGGAGGTGTTGAGCCAATTAAGATTCCTAACTACCCTATGAACAAGAGATTGGAAACTTGCCAAACAATAATAACAGTATCTCATGTTTATTGTTTTTTTTTTACCTATAATACACTGGGCTAATGAATTCATATGGATTAAGCCAGTTAATTCACAGAAGAACCTTTTAAGGGAGGAAAGATCTTCATCTCTATCTACCACAGTGAGACGGCTGCTTGCTCAAGGTCACAGAACTCTCACATGGGAACCCAATCAGGGTGACCCGAGAGGCCACTCTCGTAGCTCCAGGGCCAGGCTGACTTGCGCCAGGTGAACATCACTTCGGGTAGGCACATCCAGTTTTCTTAAATCTATCTTTCAAAACATTTCTAAACCCGGGTCTGGTAAACACAGAGCTGTTAGGCAACAACATCCACTTCCCACCGTTTGTAATAGCAAACAACATTTTAACCTGAAAAACCACACTCTAGCTATTGCTCTGCTTATCTAGAAGGATCTTCAAATAACACCACTGTGGTTAAAGTTCATTTTGAACTGAGATATATTTACTTGCACAGGGATATCTGGAGTGAAGAAAAAAAAATGATGACAGGACGAGTCTTCAGGGATTTTTCTCCCCCTCCCCCGTCTTACTTGTTTCTTTTCTTATTAACAAAAGTGAGAATAAAACCCTTTACTGGAAAGGGAAGCTCTTTCCTTCCAGAATATAAGAATTTCAGTTTCCCGTGGGCACGACTCTTTGGTTTCACAATCTTGTGAGTCATGGTTGGGGCAGCCTGCTGTCCTCTCAAGTCTCCTGTGGAGCCACCAGGAGAAGGACAAAGGACAGGGAGGGTGAAGCAGCTGGCTTGGCTATGTATTCAAGGGTCATCCCAGCAACCGAACTAACTAGTTAGCTAAGTCTTTCTACTATGAAAGAGCAGAGGCTGGTTAACTATCCAACTTCATGGCTCTCACCTCCCACCTCTTTGAGGAAATAGTGAACAAGAGAAGAAGTGGGTTTTTTTGGTGTTTAAAAGGCCCAGGTCTTCCTGGGACCTAATGGAGAGGGCCTGACACGTGAGACAGCCTGACTCATTCAGCACAGTTCCCTCAATGGGGCACATCATGCTGTGGGCAGTAGGGAAAGCGAATGAAACCCTTCCAGAATGACAGAAGCATGAATGGAAAAGAATCCCATTGCTTCCACCTTTCTTTTACCCTCTAAAGCAGCCATAAATTGGCTATTTTCCTTCCTCAGGTGAAAAGCCTCAAAGCATCTCTGCAAATCAATCATATTTGTGGCTTTATGTCACGGGCCTGCTTGTCCTTGTAACACAAATTCTACTGTGCACAGTTGGAGTGGGTTTTACAAATTATTTGCTGCATTCACAATGTTCCCTGGAATAGGAGGTGGAGTTTGCAGGATGAAGTGTAGGAGGAGGCGACTGGCCCGTGGGAGTCACTTGAACAGGATAGGTTTTGCTAAGTGGAAAGCAAAGTGGAAGGAGCAGATGTTGGTCCCCTTGGGGTCCCCCCTCCAGCACTGGGAGAGTCCCTTGTTCTTCCCATTGGCTTGCCTGGTTCTGATGGGTCTGTGCAGGCTGCAGAATGTCCAGCTCTGAGGGACTCTGTTCCCCCTAATTCTAGAGCTGCTCTCATGATGCCTTCTTCCCCCTACGTGGACAGCTGGTAAAACATGTGGTGCTGTTGAGTCCATTCAAGTGGAGAAGAAAGTTGGTCTTTATTGATGAAACATGAACTGCAGGGTCCTGAGAATGGTCACAGGATGCATTCTTTCTGTTGCCAACAGTGCTCACTGAATACATGGATGGAAGGAACCATGAACCACAGGATTCATCTGGAACAGCCATTCATAACCTCTTAAAAGCTGCCAATGGTGTTTCCAAATATTCTGGCCTTATCAGATAATTGTTGTTATTATGAACTCTTGAGTCAGATCCAACCCATAGATGACCCTCAAGCAGGTTTTCAGAGGCAGTAAATCACACGGGAGGAGATTGCCCATCTTTTCTCCACAGAGCAGCTGGTGGATTTGAACTGCGTGCCTTTGGGTTTTCAGCTTCTCTAGGCCTTCAGAACTCCCTCAGTTAAATAAAGAGGCACCAATAATTTTTTTAAAGGAACCTTATTAAATACAGAAACACAATGACAATATACGAAGGCATACATCACATGTGATGTTCCATCTCGGAAGCCTGTCAACTTTGTACTACTTTCAGATCAGACCTCATTTCCCCTTGTGTCCTTGTTCTTTGTCATTTCCCCAGCTGTGACTAACTCGGTGGGTCTTGAACCTGTGTAGACCTGCCATTTCACTCAGGTTCAGCTCACTCTCCTCCTCCAGTACTCTGCTTCTGCTACTGGCCAGTCTCTCTTCTTCATGTATGTGCAATCCTTGTAGACTGTCTCCCCTTCCCCTCCACTTTCTAGAATGCTGGGCAGCTTAATTCTTCTGTGGGCTCCTGCCATGGTCTCACCCAAACAAATGCGCTGTTTGGAATTACTGTAATTTTGCACTTGAATGGCTTACTTAATAACATTGTCTTGTGATCCCTGCATATAATCATTGCCTTGCAAACAGGGGCAACTGCATTTGCTGCTCATTTTCTTTCTCCTATGTCCCATGCAACTATAGACTCCTGGTCTCAGCACTGTTGTTGTAAGGTGTTGCTACAACAATTTTTGATCCCAGATGACAGAGTAGAAAAGCCCAAAATGTTTTTCTCAGTTATAAGTTCTATGCAGGAAGATAGTCAGCTCCTTTCCTGGGAGGAGCGAACTGCCAATCTGTGGTTAACACCCGAATGCTAAATCAGTGTACCACTAGGACTTCTCGGTCTCAGTATGAAGCACCCAGGCACCCTTTCTAAAGTCCTTATGCCCAGGGATGATGCATTGTGTTATACCTGGCACAATTTTATTTAACAACAACCCTTTTTATAACAAACATCTCCACTGATGGCAGGGTAGAAAGAATGGTTAGATCATGGAGCTAGTAAACAGAGGTCTGATTCACGGGTTTCTGATTCTAGAACCTGTCTGTCATTGTGCTTTACTACCAAATGGACCTTGGGCCTTGAAATCTCCTCACTTGTTCCAAAAGAATTTAAATTACTCCTAGCAGGAGTGGCAGCCACTTCCTAAACCACATGTCTCTGGAAACTCTGTGAACGTTGAGAAATGATGACACTTATAGAAAGGCTTCAAGTCTTTTGTTCATAGGGTCGCTATGAGTAGTGCTCAATTTGACAACAGTCATCAACAACGACAAAACAAGTAATTAAATGCATAGCAAAACATGAGCAGTTTAGAAAAAATAGAATTGTGCCACAAAGACAAGTGAATCTGGAGAGGCTCATTACTGACCCCAGGGAGGGAAGGACCTGCAGGAGGGAGGTGCTGTTACTAGAAGTCAAGAATGAAGAAATCTCCACCTGCTCTTTCAAAGTGAAAGGGCTTTTGCCTGAGCCCAGACAAACCCTTTGCAGACCAGCAGCCAAGCTTGGGGAGTCAAATAAGAAGCTTGTAGGATTCTAAGCCGGCAACTGAGAGGGTTGGAGCACCTTCCCGCAGTCTGGTGAGGGGCTGTGCCAGCCTCCTCCGGCTGCAGGAGCCACACTGCAGAAGACCTGGGATGTCCCACTATGTGTGCGCATCAGGCATGTGTGGTAGAGACGAGACCTGCTGTGTGATCTCAGGGCTGCAGGTCTTCCTTTCTCCTCTGCCTGGCTGACCCGGTCTCTCTGGGTTGCATTCTCAATTTCCTCATCTCATACCCTGTTTTTCCTGGTGGAAACGGCACACTGCCACTTCCACATAGCAGACTGCATGTGCTATGTTAGATTAGAGGACACTGCATCTGTTAGCTGGTTCTCTCTGGCTGGACAATCTGTTCTCCACACTGTTGATAATGACCTGGAGCTCGAATGGTCCAGAATCTGAGAAGTCTACTTCCATCACTTCCTCACCTTTGACCTCTTAGATCCAATGAGTAGCCACCTGTTACCATGAGAGACCATGCCAAGTACTACACTTGCACAATCTTGTCTAATCCTCAACATAGTCGCTTGTATTATTATGATTATGGTTATTATTATTACTATTATCTATACAGATAGCTGATACTGAGTTTTTCCAGCAATTTTTTCCACAGATGTAATAAATCTCATTCTTGTGCATACCATCAGGTGAAATCCAATTTTATAGTCTGCATTCATGTTTCTTATTAAAAGGGATTTGCAATGAATAAATCATTGATTATACAGAATTCTATCATTCTATCTCCAGCCTCATTTCTGTCACAAAGTCCATGTTTTCCAACTATTGATCCTTCTTCCCTGCTCCCTATGTCTGAGTTTGTAGCCCACTGGGGACCATGGGCTGATCTTTCCCTCTTGATGCTGATGCTTGTTTAGATTCCCCTGTTCTGGCCAAGCCAAATTTCTCCTGCCTCACTGAAAAGTCTACATTAGAGGTGGCACAGCATGTCCTGAATCTGCTTCCAACCAAATAAGGACACCTTTGGGTAATACTTACTGGAATTTTATAGTCCGAGTAACTTGAAATCAGGTCTTGAATAAAAGGATGCTTCATGAGATCACAAATTTCAATTGGCGCCAAATCCTTGGCACCTAGGTCATGAAATATTTTTATGAAGTGCTTTAAAAAAGGGGGGGAAACAAAAAAAGGGGGAGGAAAGAAAGTTAATTGACTTTTTGAATCCTGCAGATATAAAAATATTTACTTATTACATGAATGTCACTTCCGAAATAGCTTGCCTCCGGAAACCCTATGAACCTGGAGAAAGGATGAAAGTTAGACAAGTGTCCACGTCTTTCATTTGTAGGGTCACTATGAGTCGCCCATGACTTGATGGCACTTAACAACAGCAACAACATGAAGGCCATAACTTTTGTATCATGATGCATTTGAGAGCTCAACTCATTACCATTGAATAGGAAGCAGCTCACAACTCACCCTCCAGCAAGTTTCCAGAGGCTGTAAATTGCATGGGAAGAGATTGCCCTCTTTCTCTCAAGGAGCAGCTAGTGGATTTGAACCTTCTGCCTTTGGGTGGGCAGCACAACACCTTATTCACTAGGCCACCAGAGCTCCTATGGTGTCATGAAAAATATGCTCAAAACAGAAGGCAACTTTCTTTATGTTCAGGTGACCCCCTTTTTAAAAAAAACAAAACAAAGTAAACAATCTAACCAACCTCATAATAAATGTTCTCGGTGTTTAGGTGGCTGGAGAATCGGTCACAGTCACACGCTTCGGTTCCACCTCGGAACACTAGCAGCAGGGTTTCCACAGAAATCTTCTCAGTGTTTGCCTTCTCAGGTATCTCTTCTTCCTTTTCCTCCTCTTTGAATTCCTTTTCCTCTCTCCCATTTTCTTCAGACTCAGGCAGTCCTTCCATGGGACTTATCATAGTGAAGGAGAAGTTCTACAAACCGAGTGGAGACAGTGTGAGGGTGGAGTCTTGGCAGCATCAGAGGATTTTAGCAAACCTCACTTTCATCTCACATTCTCAAAGTAGTGGAATAATAGGGTCTACTACCATTAGCTACGGTGGCCGAATGGGTAAGGAGTTGCGCTGCTAACCCAAAGTGCGCAGTTCAAATTCACAAGATGCTTTGTGGGAGAAAAATGGGCAATCTCCTCCTGTCTGATGTAAACTCACTGGAGGGCCAGTTATGAGCTGATTTCAACTAGAAGGCAATGAGTTGAGTTGACCACAAACTAGAAAACAGGATGCTGATTTCACTAAAAATTACAAAATTTTCCTCATATTGAGGTGGTTTGGAAAAAAGAAGAGAGAAAAAACTGCTTGGACACACTTGTAAGGAATGTGAAATTTATTATGCAGATATCCCAGCAGAAGAAAGAGAAAAGAAGTTGGGTTCCTGTTCAAGACACCGGTTCTGCTACATTCCACCCAACACACCAGAGAATTTCTGGGAAGTTGGTTTTCCTTCTACTCAGACTTGTGTGGAGAGAGGTTACATTAAGGAAGATCTTGATCCTTGTCCCCGTCCAAAGAGATGGCAGCGTCACAATGCAATGTTTTCTCCAAAAGGCAAGGAACAGAAAACATAGATATTGAAGCAAAACCAGAATAGAGGACAAAACTTTTTCCTTTTTAGTTATTTATAGTTAAAATTAGTACTAAATACTGATTTTTTTAATCTTCTGTAAGCTGATTTAGAAATCAATTTTCTATTGAAAATGTTTTGAAATTACATTACCCACCACACAGACAACTATTTAAGCTGTGGACAAGTTGATGTATTCTCTTGCTTTTGCACCTTTTAAACAGTAAGGTGCTTTATTTTGCACTCTAACTTAAGAAGTGTTTGTTTACTTTATTTGGAAATAACAATTACAATTTTGAAAATTAAAAAAAAATTGCAATGTGAAAATTCTAGGCCAAATCAGCTCATAGTACAACCTATAAAAGCCTCCATGCTGAGTGTGTCATATTTATATCCTTGGATTACTACTCTACTACTGCTATATCACAGTTCTTATGCAGTGGCCTTATCCTGAATAAATGTAGACTTCCAAGCAGCTAATGGGTTTGAATCGCATGCCTTTGGGGTTGCAGTGCAAGATTTAATCATGTAGAAATATTCATAGGCACAAATAATTTCTATGTGGACATTTGTTCCACATTATTTATATCAAATAGTGACACAAATTATAATACATTTTTGTGATAGATACTATGTTGTTGTTGTTTATTGCCCTTGAGTCAAGCACGACTCATAGTGACCCTATGGACAAAAGGCCTGAAGCCTTTTGTCCACATTTATCCAAGTTCTTAGAGATTCCAGAGGCATATTGCTTAGAAAGAGGATGCCACTCCTGCTTCCAAGATACTATACAACCATGAAATTGGTAATTTTAAAGAATTGCTTTTTAAAAAAAGAGTGACATTAGAAAACAGGCACATTACGCACAAAAATAAACAAAATGCAAAATAATAAATATTCACTCCCTGCCATCAACTTGGCTGCAAATCACAGTGACCATTCATGCGGTTTTCAGGACTGTAAATTGCAGTGGGAGGAGACTGCCCATCTTTCTCCCATGGAGCTGCTGGTAGATTCAGATTACTGGAGATGGCATAATGCATTACACATTAGGTTCTGCTCCATGGGAGAAAGATGGGCAATATTCTCCTATAGGCTCTGAAACATGATGGTCACCAGAAGTTAGAACCATCTAGATGAAGATACACACACACACACACACACACACACACACACACACACACACGCATGCATGGCTTACCCCTGCCTCCAAGAGTCTACCTCCATTCTAAAAAACTTGGAAATACTACCCAGCAAAAATGTTCAATTGGTCTTTGTGTCTTCACCTAGCAGGCTTGGAGATCATTGTGCTGCCTATTGTTGGTATGTGCTATACAGTTGAGACTCATAGCTGACCCTCTCGCAGGTTTTAAAAAGGAGTAAATAATACAAAAGGAGATGTCCATCCTTCTCTCACAGAACAGCTGATGGATTTGAACCATGTGCCTTTGGGATTGCAGTGTAGTTTCTTAGCATTTAGGCTATCACACCTGTCAACAATTTCCTGGTACAAAAGATCACTTGTCAAGTGCTGTTGAGTATCATCCCTAATGACCCTATGAAAAAATAGATCTAAACTTGTCCTATCCTGTGCCATCTTCACATTTACTGATACATTAGAGCCCAGTGCCGCAGTCATTGTGTTAATCATCTGGTCAAGGGTCTTCCTCTCCTTAGCTGACCTTCTATGTTTCCAAGCCTCATATGCTTCTCCAAGGAATAGCCTCTCCAGCAACATGCCTGAACTATGTGTGGTGAAGCCTCATCATCCTTGCCTCCAAAGAATACTCTGGCTGCACCCTCTTCAAGGCATATCTGTTTGTTCTTTTGGCAGTCCATGGGATGTTTAGTACTCTTCTCCCACACAGCTCAAGCATCAATTATTCTTCTGTCGTTTTTATTTTTTGTTCAACTCTCAGAGACATAGCAAATGATCAGAAAGATCATGGCCTGAATCAGACACACGTTAGTGCTCAAACTAACATCATTATTCCTCAAATATTTGGAGAGTTCCCTGACTGCAGACTTTCCCAGTGCAGTATGTCTCCTGAGTTCCTGACTGCTGACACCAATGATGTTGATTGTAGATCCAAGTAAGGTGAAGTGTTTGACAGTTTCAATCTTTTCTCCATCTATTGTGATGTTGCTTACTGGCCCAGTGGTAAGAATCTTGGTTTTCTTGACCTTGAGATGCCATCCATATTGAAAGTAGGGAGCTCTTGTGGCCTAGTGGTAAGAAACTGCACTGCAGTCCTGAAGGCTTTTGGTTTGAATCTGCCAGCTGACCTGAGGGAGAAGGTTGAACAAACTCCTGCCATGTGATTAACTGCCTCTGAAAATCTGTGGGAGGGTCAGCTATGGGTCCATTGTATTCAACAACAATATTCTTTGATCATCTACAACAAGTGCTTCAAGCCCTCTTCACTTGAAAGATTATGTAATCATCATAATACAGGTTGACGATGAATCTTCATCCAATCCTGATGCCATACTCTTCTTCATAAAGTTTAGCCTCTTGAATGATTTGCTCAGCATACATACTGAATAGGTATGGAGAAATGATATGACCCTGTAGTTAGTGTATCATTGCTCTGTTCAGGGAACAGCTTCTTGGCTGAGGTCTAGGTTTTCCATAAGCACAACTAAGTGTTATGCTATTTATATTCTTCTCAGTGTCAGACACAATTTATTATGATCCATACAGTCAATAATTTATCAATAGGCATCCTTCTAGTTTTCTCTGCTTTCTGACAGGACCCATCTGATATCACCAATGATACCCGTGGTGCCACGGCCTCTTCTAAATCCACCCTGAATTTCTGGCTATTCTCTGTCAACAAACACTCTCAAGTCTAGATGTTCTTAAATAATCTTTAGCAAGATTTTGCTTGTGCAAGTTCAAACTGAAGTTGAAGAAAATTAAGACACATCCACAAGAACCAGCTAGAATCTTGACTCTATTTCACCTGAATTTGAAAATCATCTTAAGGATAGGTTTGAGCACTAAACACTAGTGACTAAAGACCACATGAACTGTGGGATGCCATTAAGAAAATCATCCATGAAGAAAGTAAAAGGTTACTACACAGGTAAGGGAAAAAGAAAAGACAAAAATAGATAAGAAGAGCAGAAAAGAGACTTTTCAGAAGAGACTGAAAATTACACTAGATTGTCAAGAAGTTAAAATAAAAGGAAGAACTGCCAAAGTAAAAAGATGAACAGAAGGTTTCAAAGGGTAGCTCTAGAAGACAACTTAAAGTAGTATAGTGTGCAAATAAATAGTCAGAAAATAAAAAGGGAAGAACTTGGTCAGTACTTCTCAAGCATGAAGAACTGAAAACCAAAATCAAGCCTCAAATTGCAACACTGAAGGATGCCATAAGCAAAATCCTGAATGTTTCAGGAAGATCAAAAGAAGATGAAAAGAATATACCGAGTCATTGTATAAAAAAGACTTTTCTGACACTGAACCATTCCAGGAAGAAGTGTATGATCAGGAACTAATGATGATTAAAAAAGAAGTTCTAGCTGCATTGAAGCACTGTTGTGGAGGTTGTTGTGTGCTGTCGAGCCACTTGCAACTCAGATCGACCCTATGCACAAGAGCCCTAAACCCTTCTCTATCCTGTGCCAACATCATTGTCTCCGACACACTCACTCCCATTACCCCAATCACTGACTTGATCCATCTCATTGAGGGTCTTCCTCTCCTGCACTGCCCCTCTACTCTCCCCAAACATGATGTCCCTGTCCAAGGGCTGGTCCCTCCTTGCAACATGTCCAAAGTATGTCAGAAAAAGCTTCAGAATCCTTGACTCCAAGGAGTAGCCCAATTTCACCCTCTCCAAGAATAATCTGTTTGTCCTCCTAGCAGTCCATGGTCTATCCAACACTCTTCTCCAGCACTACATCTCAAAGGCATCAATTCTCTTTCTTTCATCCCTAGTCACTATCTAGCTCCCCGATGCATTGTACACAATTGCGAGGACTATAACCTGGATCAGGCACACCTTAGTCTCCAGCCTGATGTTATTGCTCTTCAGTACTCTGGAGAGGTCCCTGACAGCTGACTTTCCCAATGCAATTCATCTCTTGATTTCCTGGCTGCTGGTACCAAGAGTGTTGACTATGTAGCCAAGCAAACTAAAACTGTTAACTATCTCAATTTCTTTGCCATCATGCTAATGCTGCCAATTGGCCCAGTGGGGAGAATCTTTGTTTTCTTGATGTTGAGCTTCAATCCATATTGAAGGCTGCAGTCCTTGACCTTCTGCAGCAAGCACTTCAGGTCCTCCTCAGTTTTAGCAACTAGGGTTGTGTGATCTGCATAAGGCAGGTTGATGAATTTTCCACTAATCCTCCTCGGATAGCCCAGGGTCCCGGATGATCTGTTCTGCATACAGATTGCATTAGAGTGCTGAGAAGCCAAAGCTAAAGGAAGAAATCAAGAAATTAAAGAGCAGAACAGAAAATTTCAAAGGGCAGCACAGGACGACAAAGTAAGATACTATAGTGAAATGTACAATGAGCTGGAGCCAGAAAATCAAGAGGGTCGACCTCATTTAGCGTTTCTTAAGCTGAAGGAACTGAAAAACAAATTCAAGCCATGAGTGGTAATACTTAAGGATGGTTTGTGTAGAGTGTTAAATGATCCTGGAAGCATTAAAAGATGATGGAAGGAGTATACAGAGTCACTGTACCAGAAGGAATTGGCTGACACAGAAGAATTTCATGAAATAAAGGATAAGCAAGAGCCTGTGGTGATGAAGGAAGAAGTTCAAGTTGCTTTGAAAGAACTGGCAAAAACCAAGACTCAAGGAGTTGATGACATACCAACTGACATATTTCAACAAACAGACACTGTCCTGGATGTGCTCATTTAGTTATGCCAAGAAATCTGGAGGACAGCCAGCTGGCCCACTGACTGGAAGAGATGGATATTTGTTCCCATTCCAAGAAAATGTGACCCAACAGAGTGCAAAAATTATTGAACAATATTATTAATATCACATGCAAGCAAGATTCTGATGAAAATTATCCAAAAACAAATGGAGCAATATGTAAACAGAAAACTGCCAGATGTGTAGGCTAGGTTTAGAAGAGGTCGTGGTACTAGGGATATTATAGCTAATGCTAGATGGATCTTGGCAGAAAGCAGAAAGTACCAGAAGAATGTCTATCTGTGCTTCATTGACTATGCAAAGACATTTGACTGTGTGGATCATAACAAACTGTGACTGACTCTGGGAATCCCAGAACATTTGACTGTGCTAGTGTGAAACCTATACTTGGACCAAGAGGCAGTTGTCAGAACAGAGCAAGGAGACACTGCAAGGTTCAAAATGGGAAAGGGCATCTGCCAGGGGTGTATTCTATCGTATATACTTTTTCAAAGCACTAGCAAAAAAAAAAAAAAAAGGAAGTCCCAGAAATGGATAGAATACCAATTGACATATTTCAACTAACACATGAGCCCTGGATGTGTTCACCAGGCTGTGCCAAGAAATTTAGAGGACAGCTGCTTGGCCAACTGACTGGAGGAGAGCTATATTTTTTTCCAATTTCCCAAAAAGGTGATCCAACAGAATGTCTAAATTTCTTAATAATTAATATCACACGCAAACAAAATCTTGCTGAAGATTATTCAAAATATCACTTAGTCTATTCAGGTTAGTGATCAATTCATAGTGACCCAATAAGACAAAATGTCACAGTCCTATAGAGTTTTGGTTGTAATCTCTGTGATAGCAGATTGCCAGGTCTTTGTCTGGATTATTTAACCGTTTGAGTGTCAACCTTCCAGTTATCAGCTGAGTGCTTAGTTGTTGCAGGTACTGATTTGAAAAAGGGGTCATTGGTGGTTCAATGGCACCATTTTCACCTTCCATAAAAAAGGTCAGATTTAAATGACTGGCCAGCATACCTCATGCACAGACATCAGGGTCTCTCAGTGCAGATTTATACTTTGTGATGCTGCCAAACACATTTCAGTGGAACTGAAAAGTGAACTAGGAAGAAAGGTCTGACAATTTACTTCTGGAAAACTGGTTCACAATGGTCCAGTTTCCCACTTATGGAGCTAGGAGAGCTCAGTGTTTTAGTCTATTGCGCATGGGGTTTTCATGATTTGGAAATCAATGCAACAGCAGCTAATAATAATACCATCACCACCAATACTCATTCAAAAGCCCAGTACAATCATTATGGGATAAATGAATTTTTCTGTTTTTCTTGCTTTTTATTCTAATCCTGATTTCTACACTAACAGTTACATAACATTGTTTATATACTTCAAGGGAGCTCTGGTGGCCTAATATCTGTGCTACTACACTGTATCTATTTACTGTTTCATCACCATTAATTTCATTACCATTTTCTGTCTCTTACAGTTCTAGGTTATAGTTGTAAATTTACATTCATAAAGATAATCCTTTGTGTGAGTGCTCTGCTTGAGACAAACGTGCTTTACTAAATTGGATAAAACATGCTCAGTTTAACAATGGCTCATAGAACAGTTTCATTTCAAGGTTTAAAGATTATTTCTGGGCATTAGACTTAGGGGATCCTCCAGTGTTAATGGATCTAGTAAGTCTGCTTTTTATGTAAGGTCTGTTCCACACTTTTTCTCCTTTTGATCAGGATCCTTGATCAAGTCCTTAAGCAAAAGATTCAGTAAAGATAGCTGGGTAGCATCTATTTCTTCTTGTCTCAGGGTAATAGAAATAGCAGCTTGTGGAAACAAACTTACAGTCTAGATATATTGTTGTTGTGGTTGTTATGTGCTGTCGAGTCGTTTGCGACTCATAGCGACCCTATGTACAACAGCCCTAAACTGTGCTCTATCCTGTGCCAATCTCATTGCCTCTGACACACCCATCCCGATTACCCCAGTCACTGAATCAATCCACCTCATAGAGGGTCTTCCCCTCCTGCACTGTCCCTCCACTCTACCCAGCATGATGTCCCTCTCTAAAGACCTGTCTCTCCTTACAACACGTCCAAAGTATGTCAGACGAAGCCCCAGAATCCTTGCCTCCAAGGAGAAGCCTGGTTTAACCCTCTCAAGGATGAATCTGTTTGTTTTCTTGGCAGTCCATGGTACATTCAATACTCTTCTCCAGCACCACAGCTCAAAGGCGTCAATTCTCCTTCTATCCTCCCTAGTCATTGTCCAACTCTGTGATGTATAACAAGTGATTGCAAAAACCATGGCCTGTATCAGTGTAGATATAGAAAAAAAATAAGTGTAGGGAATTACAGTATCTGAAATTTTAGAGCAATGTATCCTTAAATACCTAGCATCACAGAATGCTGTTGAATGTTCTGCTGTCATTTGCATGCACAGTTCCTTAGGAGATTTGGGAAGCACAAGATTTATTGGCTCAAGGTGAAAGGAGGAAGATGAAGGAGGAGGCAAGTATGACCACAGGAGCCTGGCTCCTGCAGGGTATACATATTAGTCCCTCCAAAGAAAGCTCTGTATGACAGCACTTTGGAATGTGGGTGCACAAACAAAACCAGTGATGCCAGGTTGGAGAAATGCCAGTGCTTCTGACTGAGCAGCTATCAGTGGCATCCATGTGTGAGTCTCATTATCATCCACACAGGAGAACAGACTGTGGTGTTGTCTGGTGTCCTGTCACACACTCTTTACTAATTTAAAATATATATATATATATATATATATCACCTACTCTAAAAGCCAGCCCTCAAGGACTCCCTGCAAATGTGTTCACAGAATGGTGCTGGGTGTTCTCCTGACTATGCATTTATATTACTCAATCAGATCAGCCCTGCATCTCAGACAGTGGCACAGGGGGTCAGCCTTGGAGTGAATGTGGGCCTAGTTGTCAAGGAGCAGAATGGAATGTCATGCCAAGATCTCGAAGTTTCCTGCCAAAAAGTGCTTTTTTCCCCCTACAAGATTTCTAAACTGTAAGAGCTTCCAGCTCATGATAGACCTAATTCTCACAGTACGGCCTCTTGTCACCCAGGTTACAGGATGACCTGGTTTTCCAAATGTCATTCATTTAAAAAAGTAGCCAGGCCCAGCACAAGGGTGAGGCATGCTGAGCTTTCATGCATCCTTTAATTTCCCCACTAAGCTGTGGGTTTAAATGGAACTCTGAGCCAGGCTGAACGCAATCAGCTTGGGCAGCAGAAAGAATGAGAAGGAATGAGATGTTAAGGCCATTTTCTGGTGCTTGTGCACAAAAACAAAAGCAGAGGCCAGCTTGGGTGATGGGGGTGCAAATGGATCTGTTGGAGGTGCTATTTCTGAGCATGTCAGTTCTGGCCTCCTGGTGAGAGGTTGCCCAGGAAACTAGAGCACAGCAGGAGAGGAGACAGAAAAAAACAACAGAACAGGGAGCCAGATAATGTGGACAAGAGCTAAGCAAGAACCAGAGGGAGATAAGTGGATCTTGCATTTGCAGAACTCCTGTGTCCACTCCAAGCCAGGAGCTGGGTAGCTCCTGTGACCAAACAGGATTTCCTTCCCTGGCCCCAGTGCATTTCCCCTTTGCACTGTGCTCCATGTACTCAGTTTCTGTACAGTTTAGGGCTTTCATGAGCCCTTAGAAGAACTCTGGGTGAGCTGCTTCTTAGTGGAAGCAGCCCCAGCACGTGAGTGGCTCAGAAGGGAGACAGGCCTTCTGCAGCTCACTGGCCTGGCTGGTACCCCTCCAAGTGGCTGGCTGTTGCTGTGGCAACAGCTGTAGCAGGTGCTTCTTTTTTCTTGGTCATTCCAGTTCATGACATCCTCCTGGAACCTGCTGCTGCTTCTGCCTGCAAGGTCGGCTTTCCTTCACTCCTCTGTTACCCTTCCTTCTTCCCTAGACAATCTGAAAACAAGATAATTGAGCACTTGCTATGTGGTGGATACTTTCTTGCTCTCAGTTTCTTCCTTATTGACATCAAATTGGAGCCCTGGTTGACCCTCCATTGCATTTCTGAGGCGGTAATATCAGAAATTGCTCATCTTTCTCCCAAGAAGCCACTAATGGATTTGAAGTGCCAGAGACATAGGGTTAGCAATGCTCTCCCAGAGACATGACCTTTCGAGTTACTTACTCTAAGGAGCAGGGATCTGTCTATAAAGACGTAAAGACCTGTAGGCGTTCATGGCTAGGGGAAAGGCCACCAATGCTATGTTTGACTACTAAGATAAAGACTGAAGGTCAGAAGCAATGCAGGACCTGGCACTGTCCTTCCAAACCATCAGCCCCTGAAAGCCCAGAGCAAAGGTCTGAGTTCTGCTTTGAGGTCACCTTGATGGCAATTGATGAAAGATGGGTACTACGGTGCTCCCAGATCAAGACACAAATGATGTAGTTGTAAGATGCAACAGATACAGACACCCCTGCTTAGGTACCGCGTGCCCCCTTATGGCACCTTCACCTGTGCTCCTGCAGTGTGTTCTCAACACAGTAACCAAAGGAAGGTTCTACAGTGAAGGCCTGGAGCGCTGGAATGAGACAGAGCTGCCCTGTTCTTCAGGCTCTTATTAATTTCCTGCTATTGACAAGGTCTGTCTCACCAAATTATGATAATTTTTTGTAACACTGAAAATGTTTTAATATTTTTTCGTTGTTGTACATTTTCTTTCCCCATCCCGAGTTCTCCCTGCAATGAACTGCTCGTTCCAGATTGTTGTCATGGATATAATGCCTAATCACATACTCTTTTTGGAATTTGATTCAGTGGAAAATACTTGCCTTTTCCTACAATGACAGGCTTCTGCCCTCTGCAGGTTTGACTTTGGATGACCTCAGGCCCCCAGTAACTTCTCATCTCACAGTGTTAAAGCCGAGGTCCCTATGGTGGCCCTCACAGCTATCACCCCCTCAGCCTCTTTTCCTCTACTCTCTGCCAGCTCCCTCTTGTCTGGCTGAACAGTTCTTCCTGCTCTGACATGGAACATATCGGAGGGGTCTTGCCTGGGGGGCACAAACACTAACTGTCAAGGCTGGGAGTTCAAATTCTTGCAGAATGTCTTGATCTGCTTCTGGAGAAGTCACAATCTTGTGTCATAATCAGCTCCATGACAACTGGTCTGGATTTTTGCTTTATGGTTAACTTTGTTTAAAATGCCCTCTCACTCACAGCTTCCTTTTGCTTATGTCTCTATACAGAAACAAGAACCATAATGTGTGAGAAGAAAAAATATTTGAGTGAAATGTGCGAAGAGCTGGAATTAGAAAACCAAAATACTTGGAATTTCTCATGTTGAAAGAACTGAGGAACAAGTTCAAGTCTCAAGTCTAATACTGAAGGTTATGATGGGAAAATTCTTGAGTCATTGTACCAGAAAAGAAATTGGTTGACACTGAACCATCTCAGGAAGTAGCACATGATCAAGAATCAAGTACAAGCTAAACTGAAGGCATTGGCAAAAAATAAAGTGCCACGAATTAATGGAATGTCAATTGAGGTGTTTCAGGAAACAGATACAACCCTGTTCTTGTTCTTCAGTCTCTGTCAAATGTGGAAGACAGCTACCTCGCCAATTGACTGGAAGAGACCATATTTGTTCCCATTCTCCAAAAGGGTGACCCAACAGAATGTGGCTATTATCAAATAATATCATTATTATCACATGCAAGAAAAATATTGCTGACGATTATTAAGACTCCTGAAAAAGTACATTGAAAGAAAACTTCCAGAAATTCAAACTAGATTCAGAAGAGGTGTGGAATGTAGGATATTATTGCTGATGAGAGAAGGATCTTGGCTGAAAGCAGTGAATACTAGAAAGATGTTTGTTGTTATGTTGCCCGTGACTTATAGTGAGAGACCCTATGTACAATATAACTCTGAACCCTGCCCTATCCTGAGCCTGTCTCATTGACTCCAACACAGCTAATCTCATCCCCCCAGTTACTGTGTCAATCCATCTCATCTGAGGTCTTTTTCTCTTATGCTGTTCCTTCTACCCTCCCAAGCATGATGTTCTTCTTGAAGGACTAATCCCTCCTGGTCCTGGTCCTATGTGAGATGGAGTTACAAAATCTTTGCCTCTAAGGAAAAATTTGATTTCACTTTTCCCAAGAAAGACCTCTTGGTGGTCCATGGTATATTCAATACTATTCTTCAGCACCACAACTCAAAGCTATCAATTCTTCTTCTGTCATCCTTAGTCACTTTCCAGCTCTTTGATGCATAGCAAGTAACTGCAAAGACCGTGGCTTGGATCAGGCAAACATTAGTTTCTAGGCTGATATCTTTGCTCTTTAGCACTTTGGAGAGGTACAGACTTCTGTAATTCAATTCATCTTTTGATTACGTTGCCAAGAATGTTGATTATGGAGCTAAGCAAGCTGAAAATGTTAACAACCTCAATCTCTTCTCCATCCATGATGTTGTTGTTGTTATGTGCCATCGAGTCGTTTGC